GGTTGAGTTGCCGCCCTACTAAGGGCATCTTTGTAATATCTCATACTTAAGTTAATTATAAATAGAATGAGGGGCTGGCAGCTAGGGTTAAGTTAATCTATCCTAGTCGACCTTCTTCTCTTTTCTTCCCTTTCCTCTGTCTCTTGCTGAAATCCCCAACTTTCTACTCTTCCTTTCACAAGAAGCTTGGCCGAAATCAACACATAAGGTTTTCTACTGCAACAAACTCTAGAGGAGTTGTAGTAAGTGGCTTCGATAAATCACTAGTCACTGCCATATTAACATTTCCCTTCTTGTTTCCGAGTCAGATTGGTATAAGGTGTGGGTAAAGTTTCCAACATGTATCTCTAGCATGCTTAGGTTTTTTTACAGTAGTCACAAATCAAGTCCTTCTTGTCCTCCTTCCTAGATTCATTGCCAATCTTATCCCCACTCTGCTTAGGCTTCATTGTGCTAACCACAGCTGATTGCTCAAGGCCTGCGTTTCTCATAATCACATTCCTCCTAATTTCCTCTCCAAACACAAAGGCATATGCCCGAGAGAGTTACATTGTCTTGGGAAAGAATAGGTTGTTGTGCAATGTCATATTCAGGATTGAGTCTTGCTAGAAACTCAAATACCCTATTCTTCTTTACCAGATTCCAATCTCCAAAAAACTTGGGACTTAACTACCTTCTCTAGAAAACACCAAGGAACCCCAAAAAACAGGAGCATCCCTTCTTAAGTCAAAATTGAATAGTCCTACTACAATAAGGATTCTTCCCCTTTATCTAGTTCTTCTTGATTTTGGTGATGAATCCTAGATCTGCTACAAGGGATAGTAGATCCACCAAAAAAACCCAAAAACTGGGCTCTCAAGCAATTAATTGGCTCTTTATCTCATCAAGCAGTCAGCTGATCTAGGGCTGCATGATGGAACAACTCAAAAAGTCTCTAAAGATGCTCTGATACCAAGTAGAAACTGCAAAACTCCAATCTTATTTGTAACTTGCGAAAGAAGAGTAAGAGAGTAGAGAATTCTACATATAAGAGAAGAGGATAGAAATAGAAAAGAATGGGAGAAAGCCAAAAAACTAATCTAGCTGCCCCTTTCATTAACTTATATACTCATCCAAAAAAGGCTACAATGACAAGTGTACCCTTAATAAGTCAGCTGATACTAAAAACACATAAAAGATACTTAATAAAACATAAACTAAGGGGCCTTGGGTCCAATAACTCTAATTAAGTATTATGAACAAAAATAAGTATTATTTGCCCAATCTCAACACATTTACTGTTTCATAACCAATACATTTACAATAGATCCTAAATCGTGTTCTCTTCAAGGTTAAAGTTATATTTTTCCTCTTTTATGGCAAAAAAAAAAAGTTTCTGTGCCTTTTACATCAAGGTGATTTTTTTTTTATTTAGTTGTTTTAAATTTACATTATACAACTTGCTTATTCTTTGATTTCTCTTTCTATATATATATATATATATTTAATTTTGGTTGGGACATTGAGCACGTTCGAATTGAACGATGCATTTCTTAGTTTTACTTTTACACTCTCTCTGCATTGACTGATACCTTGCATTTCATATTTCTGTATCATGTCAATGTTACCCAATACCCACCAATTTGTTCACTTAAATTTTAAATTTTGTGCTTCATTGTTGAATAGCTCATTTACCTATTAGGTTGATAAGGAATGTCAAATGAATACATCGCATGTTTCCCAATATTATTAATGATGTTGTATTGTTGTGTAATGCATGCACCTGCAATTGGACATTGAATAGCAGGGTTTCCCGTTATATCAATAAAATGATCATGTTATTGATAAAAAAGTTTCCAAGATTTTTGTGAAGGTAGAGGGCTGCGAATCCTGTTAACTATATCCCAAATAGGCACAATTATTCTTCATCTTGAGTCAAAGCAATTACTAATTCTAGGTATCTAATGGTAAATAGGTATTATTTCAGTAGTGCTAAGCTTAAGGGTTGCCATCTAATTTTACCTTAGAGTAAAAACTCGGTTGTAGCATACTGTCAGATATCAAAATATACAAAGCATATGCAAGGAAACTGCTACTGAAGCAAACATCCAAGTACAACACTGTTGTTTTTAGAGAAGCTAATTAATTAGCTGATTGCGTAGCTCATTTAAGACATAGGTTGTTTGATCAGTAATTTAGGACCTATCTTTCTGAATCATAATGATACTATAAAGGATTTCAAAGTCAATTACATTGTAATGATGAACATTTCGTTAGGGCTACCTGCTTGCTGTTTAGATAAAAGGATTATATTTGGTAGACTCATCATTAAAGTTATGTAATTACATTGAGTTGTTGGTCCCTAACCTTTTGCAGCAAAGTGATCTTATACAAGCACATAACCTTGTATGTCCTCTTTTTCCCATTCCCTCTCTGTTCTCTTTATTCTACCTCTTTAGCAGGCAAGTCATATAGTTTGTCTTAATCATTCTGATTTTCGCTTGTAGGTGTTATCTTCAATGATTTGAATTTATTATAGAAGGGCTAAGACCCACCAGTAGCCTTGGTGTCTCCTTTACTCGTGTTTTTTGGTTGTTTCCATAATTTAGTTCTTTTTATCCTTTTTAGATCCATAACCATGGATTTTTGTTCTTTTTCTCTCCCTTGTCATTATTTAGGTGTCTTAAGAGAAAAACTAAGGTTGTGTTCATTACATAAGGGAGTCACTTCAACCGAAAAATGAGTTGAAACTGATGGGAAAGATGAGTTGTCACGTTACATAAGGGAGTCACTTCAACCGAAAAAAATGCATGTGGGGATTCATCATTGCTCTTTAGAGTTGAAACATCAAATTGTATTGATCAACAGCAATTTGGAAGCGAAAAAAAGTAACGACAACACTTAGTATTGATCAACCTAAAATGTTTCTGATTATGTGACATGACAACTCATATTTTAACACCCATTTCTATTGATCAACCCCAAACATTTCATGAAGAAATAACAATGATACCAAACACAACCTAAATTTCCACTAAAGTTTTATTTTAAGCTCAAGATTTCAGTTTTACAGAGGTATCTATTGCTTATCATCATCACCATCATCCTGCTTATGGGGTCAGCTACATAAATCCTGTTTCGCCTTCGCCATTCCATCTATTTGACAGAGGTATAGGTATGTATTGCCATCTTTCTGAAACTTGTAGGATGTTGGGATGTAGACTCTGAGTCAAGGATCAAAACTTCACAACGTATTGGCCGATATGTATCATATTGGTGGGTTACTGATACGTGAAATACAAAGAGTTTCAGGGTTTGACTAGTTTCCGGGGATAGCCAGGCCTTATACCAACCCCCCTGAACATGTTTGAAAAAAAATTATATATACTGGGGGGCATATCGTATCGATATTTCGAGCATTGCTCTGAGTATTTGGAATGGATTGTCCTTCTTGGTCAACAAGTAAAAAAGAAACCCAAGATGATTGTAGATCAATCTGTACAGGTAACTAGAGATATTGAAAGTCTTGATCCATTAAATAGAGTCAACAAGTTGTTGATATTTGTTGCAAAAGATAAGTTATAGGATATAGATGATGTTTTACTTATATAAAATAAATCATGTAACAATTTATTATTATCATTTATCATATCCTCTATGTGTTGGTTCTTGTTTTTATTTCAAGTGCAACATGACAAATAAAACACATGTCTCACCCTAGTCTTAATTTTGTGTGCAAGTTTTACTGAGGTTCTGATCTTATGCCTTCTCTTTTTTCACAGGTTTATTAGATTTTGATTTTTGAAGGATCAAAATAATGATAAAAGGTCAACACATCAGGCTTAATGGGTGGCAGCAAGCAGCTGTCGCTCTTGGGTCAGCATTTGGTGCATTACTGGACCCAAGAAGGGCAGATCTAATAGCTGCTTTGGGGGAAACAACCGGAAAGCCAACTTTCGAGAGAGTTCTAGAACGAATGAAGAAGAGTCCTGAAGGCAGAGTATGTGTCTTTGTTCTACTCTGATTCCATCTGCTTTTTTTATTGGTAATCGTCCATTTTATTAATTGATGACCAAAGAATATAAAGCGTGTACAATAGAGGAGGTGCCAAGCATCCTACTATCTTGCCCAATATATTTTAGCGCCATGCCCAGCCCTTGTTTTTCTAGGGACTTTATCATGCTGTTTGATGCCCTTTGGGTCCATTGGAATCGATCTCTCAGTTCTTGTGCTAACTGCATTGCTTCCTACAATATGTTTCTTTGTTGACATGGCACATGGTCCTTGTTTATTATGTACTAAACATTTCACAATTATCCAAGAGTCTCCTTCCACCTCTGACTCTTTCTGTTGTCTATTTGTCTTCATTAGGTAACCCGGTATGTCACTGTCATAAATGACATCATAGCAACATTTTTCTTGATTGTTGTGCTATTTTCTTGGATATTAGCTTCCTCTCTTTTAAGTGGCTATCCATATAAAAGTTCTTAATTCATATAACAAAGAATTGGTAAGAGAAGAAAGCATATCTTTTTTTTTTTTTTTTTTTTTCTATTTTTGCTAAGCAACTGTAGATTTCATTAAATAGGCATCAAGCAGAAAAACCAAGTGTACATTGTGAGCATCAGAACAAGGAGACTTCCAACAAAACAGAGCTCCAAAACAAAAGAAAAAGAGAAGAAAGCACATCAAGTTGGTTTTTTATTATTGAAAATTATTCCAGTCACATTCTATTATGTCTTGTCAATAACTACCTGCTACTGAAAATGCTTAAACTAGAAGTTTTTTTTTTTTTTTTTTTCTAGTTTAAATATGCTTTTGTGATGTAGAAATAAATGTTTCATTCATAGCATGTAGAACCATGCAGTATGTATTATTGATGTGGACTTGCAAGTGACTTTTAAATACAGATGAACTGTTCAGTTGGAAACATCATGTTTGCCAAGAATTTGTGGTGACTGATCTCTGAAAAGAGCCTACTAGTGCCTGTTGGACATCAAATTCTTTGAAGAAAATGTGTAAACATCCATATAATTGTCAGTAAATCTATGAAAACTAAGGAATTGGTGGTATACATTTAGGAACTAGTGGGTGATTCATCAGAAAATCAAAACTTGTAAATATGCTTCAATATTGTCAGCCTATTGGTCCTTGTTACCCTAGGCATGTTGCCTTTTAATACCCATGGTGAAAAAACCTACCCTTATCAATCTCCTGCATAGTTTCTTTAGGAATTTGGGAACATTGTTTTGCTTTATTTGGAGTTAGGTGGAATCCTCCACCAGATATTGTTGGACTATTTGATTCTAATTGGTTCTTGAAATCAATGAAAAGGGGGTAAGATTCTTGGAGATGCATGAGATTTTTCATATTGCAGTCAATCTGGGAAGGAATATATGCAATTTTATTTAATTTTTTTCCGACAAGCAACAGGCCAGTGATCAGAAGATCAGAATTGCACGGGTAACATTAGACCACCTATAATATAGTATGTACTAGGGCTATAGCACTTCATCAGATAATAAAAAATTCCTATATAGCAATGATCCATAGCATAGATGGTTGTTTTTATTGGCAATCAAAGCCTGTGAGGTGTGGGAGATGTTTTTAGAGGTAATGGAGGTGAGATCTCTTGCGGGTTTACCTAGGTCTAATTGGATGGAAATTGCTAGCTAGACAGAGTTGCTGAGTTGGGTAAAAATGTAAAGCCCAATGTGACCGTTCTTTTTTTATTGAGAATATTTTCTTCCATTTTCTCTTGGCTTCTCTCTTCTGATCAGTTCAAAGGTTTCAGCTATTCTGATCTTGAAAGGATTTTATTAGAGATTGTGCATTCCTTCCACTTTGACAATCAACCCAGACACTCCAGCACTCCAAGACCAGATCTAGATTTCTTACTGAGGTTTGGTGGAAGCTGTAGATCATCTCCCAACCAACCACTGGCAGCTGGCATCAAGGGAGTTATTTTAAACAGAGAGGGTTCTGTGACAACCAACCACTTTGGTGATGGGTCTAAGAACTGTTAGATCTCTACAGCTGAATTTTGTTCTCATTGAGGAGGATTCCAGAAATGTTATCAATTGGGCCTCCCACCCAGAAAAGGGCCCTTAGAGGTTGGGTCATTTCCTCAATGAGATCTCAGAAATAACATCTTCTCTGCATTGCGGCTTTAGATGGATTCCAAGGGAGTTGAACTCAATTATGGATCTTTTGGCTAAATCTGGGGTGGAAAGGATCTTTTTTATATAGTGCTAATAGTTTGCCTCCTTAAGTGGAGAGATTTTATAGTTGTGAGATCCTGATGGTTGTTTGTACATCTTCTCATGTACATCCCCCCTCATGGTTATTCTCCTTAAGATCATTTTTTCATAAGGCTAGATCATGCAACCACTAATGACTTCCCTAGTAAGAATGTGGCTCCCTCGTATCCTTTCAAAGGTCTCTTTCCTAGTGTGGACTGCTGCCTTGGGAAAATGCCTAACTAGGGACAGCCTTATCAGAAGAGGTTTACAAATTGACATTGATCAGAGTGTGACGTATGGACTAAAAGATGAGTTAGCCAGTCATATGAAGAGCTGGAATATAGAAGGATTATCTGAAAAAGGGAAGGTGAACTGGGGTACTATTTGAGCAGCAATACTTTAGAATATTTGGAGTGGGAAAAATTCAGACATATTCAAGGACAAGGATGCAATGAAGAGGAGTTAATGGCTAAGACAAATTGACACTATTATTATCTTGGACATCTATACAAAAATAATGTTTGGAATGACATACAGTTTTTGTTTTGGGTTTTTGAAAACATGTTTAGAGATCAGTGTATATAAGCTCGACACTGTACTTGTAAACTTTATTGTACAGAATCTTTTTGTACACAGGTGTATTCTTTTGCTATTTGATTAACAAATATACTTCGAAAAAAATGGATAGGGAGAAACAGGTAAGTGAACTGCTTTCCCTACCACATTGACTCAGATTAGCAAGAGCTCATGGTTTTAGAATATCAGGAGTTGAAGGAGATTCATCGGTTGTAGTTGACTGGATGATAGGAAACGAGGGAAGCCAATGAGGATTTATGTATGCCTTTATATCTTAAGAGATGCAAGATCCCTATATTTAGGATGCAAGTCAAACCAGGTTAACTCAGGTTGAGGTTGAAGCCCCAACCCCATGACTTCAAAAATTTGGGTTGAACCTCCAACCCAGACCTGAATCCACAAATAAAGCACATGCCTCCTTTCTTGTCCAGCATTGTTTAAGCTCTAATTCCTGAAAATTGGTCTTACGAAAGTGTCTATGTTACTTTTATAATTAAAATAACCCTAGAAATTCTGGCTTTTTCAAAAGCTCTATGGGACTTCTCACTTGTCCACCCCTTTTCCCTCTGAATAAAGCTTAACTGTATTATTTTCCTCTTTTGAGAAATTAAAGCATTATGTACAAAGCAGTCGTTCCATTCTCATCCCACTAGAGTTTAACCATATAAAAAAGGGCAGCCTAGTGCACCAGGCTCTCGCCAATGCAGGGTCTGGGAAGGGACAGATGTAGACCCATGTCTTGTAGTACAACAAGCATATAAGTAGACTATAAATAACTTATAGTACAAGCCCTTTGAATGCCTCCATTGCTACACATATCTTGCAGTACAAGCTCTAGGTATTCCTATTCTTGTCTAAATATCATTTGAGCTCTAATTCCTGAACCTTATCTTTGTTTAAATATCCATGTCAGTTCCTATGATTTTAACACTAGATTTGTCTCCTTGCAATGAATCACTACATTGCTAGGAACCCTAATTGTCTCTTGCCTGCCTTTAGTTGATCTAATTTTCATCATGACACTTGTATCTGAATGAAGTTGTGTTTCTGAGTGAACACACATAATTTACCTTTATGAGATGCTATTTGAGGATTTTCTATGTGTGACCTTGAAAAAGAGAAAACAAAACAAAATATATGAAATGTTGTCTGAACCTTGTTCCTTTATTAAGGGGAAGAGCATTTAGTTGATTGCATCTATACATGACATGTTAGATGCTTCCACTACATCTACAGTCGATGATACTTGTTCGGCAAGTTAATTGTCTAACTTCTGTCAAAATACAAGGATGTTGATTTGGAAGTATGTTGTATATCTTATCCAAAGGAGTTAAGAGAAAAATAAACTGCAAATGGAAGGAAAAGGAAGGAAACTCTGTTCCCCAACCTATTACAACTTCCAGAGCCATGTACCTATTGAATATGTAAGGAATATAGAACCACATAATGTTTCCCACCTTAAGGAATCATAATTTGACTTATTATGTTGTATTTCTTATCCAAAGGAATTAAGAGAAAAATAAACTACAAATGGAAGCAAATGGAAGGAAAAGGAAGGAAACTCTGTTCCCCTTACCTATTACAACTTCCAGAGCCATGTACCTATTGAACATGTAAAGAATGTAGAACCACTTAAAAATGTTTCCCACCTTAGGGAATCACAATTTGACTTATTAGGTGATTGCAACCATAAAATGTATCGAGCTATCTTGTGTTGCCTATACGATTCTTATGGTTGATACTAGAAATTGGGTAGCTTATAGTCATACGTTGGTTTAATAATTGGATTAGGAGATGTCCCTTGATGTCCCTTCTGGTTATACTCTAATCTAGCTTCATGTCTGTTGTATGTTCATTTTCATACAATCTACATTGTATCAACAATGAATAATGTAAGACCTTTTAAAACTGTGTATATCTTGCTATCGTGGCGTATAGTCCCAAAAGCAGGGTGAAGAGCCAAGTAAAACAAATTCGGATTAGCTGAACGCTTTAGTTGTGTAGCAGGCTGTGGAACACCAGCAATAAAATACATCGAGCCCACACTGACAGGTTGAATGATTGTTGACCCGACTGGTGTGGGGTGTTATTATTTGGTTCCACAGCCTGTTGAACAACTAAAGCATTCAGCTAATCCAATCTAAAAAAAACTATATATAGTTGTCTCTTTTCAGTCTATTGATTTCTCTTATGCTGCACTGCAGGCAGTTCTCTTGGAGCATCCACGTGTCTTATCTGCAAATGTGGGGAATGCATGGGACCTTCCAGAAAATACATTTGGTGCAGCCTATGCAAAGTTCATGGGATCAAGAAACTTTTCCCCAGACGACCGGCCACCCGTACGCTTCATGGAGACCGAGGAGCTGGCATATGTGGCCATGCGCGCTCGTGAGGTGCATGACTTTTGGCATACCTTATTTGGCCTCCCTACTAACTTAATTGGTGAGACTGCTCTTAAGGTTATAGAGTTTGAGCAGATGCTCCTACCTATGTGCCTGCTATCCGTCATTGGGGGAACAGCAAGGTTCAATGAGAAGCAGAGGTCAGTTTTCTACAACCACTACTTCCCATGGGCAATACGTGCTGGAATGCAATGTACAGATTTGATGTGTATATACTATGAGCAGCATTTCCATGAGGATTTGGAGGATGTTCGGAGGAGATGGGGGATAGTTCCTGTTCCTGCACCTCCTACTCCTAAACCAAATGCACCTTAATCAGTTATCTGCCTATCTCTTTTTTAAGTGTTTAAGTTGTAATCTGTACCCGGTTGGGCCGGTTCTGTTCCACAACTCTGGACTTTGGGCTTGGTCTGTTAGCCCAATTGCTCAGTTGTATAATCATTGTTTTTCACATTTATTTAACATCCTAATCAAGAAATTATGGAAACTAAATCAATTAAGAGGTATTTTATGGATAGACCAATTAAGAGAAATTGCATCCTCAAATTGATTGATTGATACGATGCTCTAATGTCCTTTCTCTGCACTGACGGATTGGAATCCATACCACAAGTCTCTAGAAAGTTCTGTTTCTTTCCAATCAATTCTGAATCGAATACAAATTCTGAATCGATGTAAAAATATAAAGTTAGTACTTTTTGTCTCATTTGCTACATTTTACACTTATTGGCAGTGCAAATTTTGTATAATTGATTACATCTCCTTCCATCTAGCTAAAGTCTCTCATATAAGCCCTTGTTTGGTATCACTTATTTTAAGTACTTATTCAAATAAGTACTTAAAAAAAGTGATGAGACTACGTAATAAGTGAAAAATAAACGCTTATTCCTATTTGGCAAAAAGCCAGGAATAAGTGCTTATTTTGAAAACAAGTGTTTAAAAAATAAACAATTCCTCCATTCTTTATTTTATGTACTTAAATTTAAGTGCTTATTTCTTTTTCATGGGACCCTAATATAAAATATATACAGTGCAAATACATACAAAATACAATGTTTTGCACTTCACATTTTTGTATTTGTACTCCTTCCAAATGGAGAAATCTCTATTTTCTTCTCCATTTGTGCATGGTCCTTGAGCAGCAGTGGGTGGTATCTATGTGGTTCTACTTGTTTCCTTTGCTCATCATTCATTTATAGTCCGATTTGGACTATTTTTGAAGTTTTTCATGACTAAAACTAGATTTGCGGCATTTTTTGTGTAGATCTAGTTTTGGGAGTGAAAACTTCTTAGCATCTTGCCAATGACAATAGTCATGGCCATTTTAACAAGCCCGGATCTCCTGCCCACGAGAACCCTGTCCATGTTTATCGCAGCCATATATGGAGAACATCTCATCCTCTGCATAGTATTATGCAGGAGGAGGTGGGTTCCCAATTCATGGGGGGTGGTGTATTGCAGGTAGGCGTGAGCAGGGTTCTCGTGGGCAGGAGATCCGGAGTCCATTTTAACACCTGTATTTTGATTGTTTACCATTTTTGAATTTCTTTTTGCATATTTCACTGAAAAATATCCCATTATCTGATTTTTGTTTGGATCTTTTGGAATATTTCTCGAATAATAGTGCATTATTAGACTTTTGTTTGGATGCTCTTGCTTAATCTGATATTTTGGAATATTACTCCAATAATATGTAATTCCTATTTTTTTGGTTATTTCTTGCATAATATAGTGAATATTAATGCATTACCCGATTTATTTCTTCTATGTTCTTGCATAATATAGTGATTAATATGCATTATCCTTCTTTTGGATTTTTTGGAATATTAATTTGAATATGTAATTACAGAATTTTTATTGTTATTTATTGCATAAAACAGTTAATAATATGTAACTTATTAGAGTGTTGTTAATGTGGTTTTGTATTGGTGTTAATTATTATTATTATTATTATTGATATTATTATTGTTATTATTGTTGTTGTTACTATTGATATTATTATTGTTATTATTATGGCAATAATGCCACATGGGCCCAAGTGTAGTTTCACGTGTGTTACATGTGGACCCATGTGTGTCTCAAAAGGGTAATGTAATAATTTTCATGGAAATAAATAATATAATATTCAAAAACCAGCATTTATATGGATTTAATAATATGTAGTGTTTGTTGGTCATCGTTCAAGTATCTATGGATATAGTGGTGCAATTTTTTGCTTATATAAAACATATTAGGAAGTAGATTATCAATTCTGATGTTTCATGTCTTCAAATGCATCTTCAAATGATCCATCTTATGTAACGAGTGATGTGCTCAAATTAACCATTTTGTATTGGGCATACACACTAGTTGGTACGATTACATTGGATGTGATGTATATATCCAAATGAGATGCAATTTCATATGAATGGCAACAAAAAATTGTAGTACTATGTTATTAGAGGATGCTTTATGTTGGATAGTATGTTTCAGTTATTTTGACCATGTTTTGTTAATTCTATAGTTATTCTAATGAAATCAAAGATTTGAAAGCACTTTTGTAACAGTGCTTCCTAAAAATAGTTTTGTGAAAGTAGTCTAGGTCAACATATATTGTTTTATGAAATTGCTTGGTAGAAGTTGCTTTATGAAAATTGCTTTTTAAAAGTACTTTTGAAAAATTATTTCTTAAAAGTATTTCTAAAAATCACTTCTTGCAAGTACATCTTTGTAAAAGTACTTTTTGAAAGCTATATCATAGAAGTGCTTTTTGTAAACTTGTTTTTAACAGTATTTATTATTTATTTATGTTATTTTTTATTATTTATTAATATATTATAATTTTAATGTTAGCATTTTTTATAATTTATTATTATCATTATTATACTATATGAATATGTATTTATCCCCACTCCCTATAAACAACATTCCCCTATGAATTGGGAATCTCCCCCCAAACAATGACCCAAACTGAACGATCATATTATGAATTCTGGGGTGGACTGAACTCAAATTACCCCATATCTTATATATATATAGGAAATGGATGCTCTCCCGTAGATCCCGCGTGAAAGTAATTATTACACTAATTTAATAATTTAATTATTACAGTAATTAATAATTTAATTATTACAGTAATTAATAATTTAATTATTATAGTAATTTAATAAGTATATAATTAGTGATTATAATTAATGATTACTGTTATTATAAATATTGTTAATAACTAGATATTTACTTTAATTTTACTTTAAATTAAAATTATAAATATTGTTAATAACTAGATATTTACTTTAATTTTACTTTAAATTAAAATTATAAATATTGTTATTAAAAAGTACTATTAATAAATTTAGTAACCCGATTTTAATAATTACTGATTATTAAAATAATTTAATAAATATATAATTAGTGATTATAATTAATAATTATTGTTATTATAAATATTGTTAATAAATAGATATTTACTTTAATTTTACTTTAAATTAGAATTATAAATACTGTTATTAATAAATACTGTTAATAAACTTAGTAATTATTGTTATATTAAAAATTTTATTAAAAGTATTGCTATTGATTATTTAATAAAATATTATAATTACTGACTATTACTGATAAATATTGTTAATTTAATTTAATTTTGGTAATTATTAATTTAATGAATATAGTTAATAAATCCTATTCATAAATTTAATAATTACTATTATATTAAAAATAACTAAATAATATTATTAAAACTATCATTAATGATTATTTAATTAAATAGTATAATTACTTACTATTATTGATAAATGTTTGACAACCGACGGTTCGACCGTTTGGTTCGAACAGATGGTACGTTTTGACAACAAAAATTACAAACAAAAAATTACGAAACCGTTCTGACCACCGGTTTTCGGGTCAACGGTTCGATCATCCGATTCGAATGGACAGTTCGTTCTGACAACAAAAATTATAGGCAAAAAATTGAGTTTGTGAGGTCCATTAAGTAGTATCATACATGTTATGCCATTCAAGCGTGTGACTCATACGACCTGAAAATGGAACCGTTCTGGCCACCGATTTTTGGGTCGACGGTTCGACCGTTCGGTTCGAATAGACAACCCATTCTGACAACAAAAAATTACAAGCAAAAAATCATGGAATCGTTCTAGTCACCAATTTTTGGGTCAACGGTTCGATCGTCTGGTCGAACGGACGATCCATTCTAACAACAAAATTATAGGCAAAAAATTGAGTGTGTAAGGTCTATTGAGTAGTATCATACATGTTATGTCATTCGAGTGTGTGACTCATACGACCCGAAAATGAAACCATTCTAGCCACTGGTTCTTGGGTCGATGGTTTGACCGTCCGATTCGAACAGACGGCCCATTCTAACAACAAAAATTAAAAACAATAAAAAAAAATGACCAAAACCATTGAACAGGTCAACGAGTTGACAATTTGACCACTTGGGTCAATGGGTCGTTGACCGATTCAATGGTTTTTGGTGAGGGACCGGTATTGGGGTAAAATGGAACTGGATGCTTGGACGGTTCCCAATTAAAAAAATAAAAAAACGGACAACCCGTTCTAACAACAAAAATTACAGGCAAAAATTGAGTGTATTAGGTCCATTAAGCAGTACCATACGTGTTATGTCATTCGAGCGTGTGACTCATATGACCTAAAAATAGAACCGTTCTGGCCACCGGTTTTTGGGTTGACGGTTTGACTATTCGATTCAAACGGATGACCCGTTCTGACAACAAAAATAGAAAAATAAAAAAAATAACCAAAAACCATTGAACGGGTCAACGGTTTGACCGCTATGTCAATGGGTCATTGACCGATTTAACGATTTTTGTCCAAGGACTGAGATTAGGATAAAACGGAACTAGTTGCTTGGTTGGTTCCCAATTAAAAAAATAAAAATGGCCAAAAACTATTGAATGGGTCAACGGATCAATGGTTCGACCGCTCAAGTCAATGAGTTATTGACCGATTCAATGGTTTTTGGCCAAGGACCGGGTCAATAGGTCGACGGTTCCATTCCAACCCCTACAAAACAGGGCCCCTCCACTAGTTATACTTGTTGTTATTATTATTATTATTGTTATTATACTATATGAATTATTATTAGGCATTTTTGGAATTCAGAATTCATTTATTGGTTCCCCAAATGTATTTATCCCCACCCCCTATAAACATCATCCCCTCTAGACACTGACCAGAATGGTAAGATTGCATTATGAAATATGGGGTGGATTGAATTCAAATAACCCCTTATTATTGTTATTTTTGTTATTACTATTGGTATTAGTATTGTTATTATTATGATAATAATGCATGTGGTCCTACGTGTAATTCCGCGTGTGTTATATATAGACTCATGTGTGTAATAATTTCCTTGGAAACAAACAATATAATATTAAAAAACAACATTTATATGGATTTGTAAAGTAAGGATTAAAAATAAGTGTAAATGATTTAAGAAAGGGATAACCAAACAACAGTAAATTTTTATTTAAGGGTAAATTACAAAGACCCCCGTATTATGGGGTCTGTGACAAAGACCCCTCTGTATTATGTTTTGCGACAAAGACCCTCCATGCACTTTGACTGTGACACAAAGATTCCTTTCCGTTGAAATCCACCAGTGCAATATTTTTGGGGAATTGTCTAAAACTCATCATGAGTTTTTAACATTTCTCTTAAACTCACCACAACTTTTCAAAATGTCTAAAATTCACCATATCAGTAAGTTTTTATTTTCCAAAACTCACCTTCCGTTAGTGCACTGTTAATGCTTCTTAATAGAGGTGTCCATGTCAGCATAAATAACAATTTTCATGACCAAATTACTCTTGAATGGTAAGTTAGAGGAAAATGGTCTGTTTCAGTTTTTAATTTTCTTGTTTTTTTTTTTTTGCTTTTTTAGTGTTTTGTTATAATTTCCAATGTTCTTTATAATTTCTATTTTTTTACATTTTTCTATTTTCTATAGTCTATAATTTTTCCAGTATTTTTTGTTATTTATTTGCAATTTCTGTGTTTTTCTATAAATTTTTGTGTATTTTCTACAATTTTTTATTTTTTTATTTTGTTTTTCATTTTCTATAATTTGAAAATAATTTTTTATTTTGTTTGCAATTTTTATAATTTTTTATATTTTTTATAATTTCTATGTTTTTATGTATTTTATATTTGAAAATATTTTTTTCAACTTTTTCATTTTTTCATGTCTAAATATTAAAATGGTAATATATTAACACCCGTTAATTTATTTTGTATATATTTTATTTTTTCTATGAAGATTAAAAATTGTAATATATTAACTCAGTTAGTCTGTTTAACATTAAGTTAGTGACATGATGAATTTTAGACATTTTAAAAAATTGTGGTGAACTTAAGAGAAATGCTGAAAACTGATAGTGAGTTTTAGACAATTTCCTAATATTTTTTAATTTCCATATTACCCTAGAAAAACACTATTCATCTTCCCACGAACAACAGCCACGGACTTCGGAAATCCTCCCTCTCTCATCTCTCTTCTTCCCCTTCCCCTTTCTCTCCTCCCCTTTCTTCTTCCCGATTTCCTCTGTTTTCCGTTCCTTGCAGATGGAGAGAGAGAAACTGTTTTCCATTCCTCTCCAACATCCTATCTTTTTGCTCTGGGGTGAATTTCGTCTGAAACCTCTTCTTTGATAGAGACAATGGTTGCAGAGGCTCCCCAGGTGCATTGGACTAGTACGCATTGAGGTCATCGCTTTACGATTCAGTTGCTCCGCCACCAATTCCACCACCGCCTCCGAAGGAATTGGTTCCGGTGACGGACTGGTAGGTAACTCCAGTTGGAATTTTTTGTGTTGCTGAAGAGGTGAAAGAGGTAGTTGGGGTTGGGGAGGTGGGATCCTACTTATGCTGCCGAGTGCCGTCGTGGTTCTTGTTATGGTAGTAATAACAGTTTGCCCCCGATTGGGGCTCCCCTTCCATCTCTTTTCGGTAGAAGGTCCTGCGACAGTCGCATGCGGCGCATTTTAGGGCCTCTGGGGTCCCTTCCTCACCGCTTGGCATGAATTTGCCGCAGCCATCGACAACATGTCCGCCAATGCTTCCCGCATGGTTCTTGAAACATTCTCGATATCGAACAGAAGTAGCAGTACTCTTGGTAGTTGTTGATATAGTGGCCGTTGTTGGAGGAGGAAGAGGAAGAGGAGGGGGCGGTGGTGTTGTCCTTGCTGAGTTGGATCCACCTGCAACTGGTGCACTTGTTGCACCACTAACTGCAATTGTGACCGGAACTGGATCTGAATATGGGTCTGGATTTCTTCCATGCCCTTGTGGTTGATGGGGACGGTGGTGATGATGTTGTTGAAGATGATCTAGGGTTTGAGTTTGAGACGGGGTTGAGAATTGCTTTTCCGTTCCCAGTCTCATCTCTTCTTCTTTCTCCTCCTACCAGTCCTAGTCCTGTTGAAATAACTGGATGAGAGGAGACCTTTGAGGATGATTCTCGAATGGGAGGATTATAACCCAAAGAACTTGGCATTCCTCTCTCTTTGTCCTGCCCTCTCAAATCCATTAAATCTACAGTAAACCCAATTTCTCGCTCCCTTAATTTTCTTTTAAAAGATCTTTGCTTTTTTTTTTGCTCTCTACCATCGTCTTCATGCATCTGGCTCAACCCATTGATCCTTTATCTTCCGCACGCAAGCTCATCTAATCTCACACAGAAACTAATCAAACGCAGATAATCAACCAAATAAACTAGTTATATTTCTTCTCTTCCTAAACTTTTGGGTTAATTTTGGCCTTGTGGATGCTAAATCCACCAACCCAGACGTAAGCAAGTAATCGAGCAGTTGGTAGTTAGAGATGGGGAGAGATGCCTTCAGAGAGATTAAAAAAAACAAATAATAATGAAACACCTTAACTCAAACAGGTTGTCTGAAGCTGCAAGGAACGGAAACAGACAAACTCGGGAAGAAGAATGGGGAGGAGAGAAAGGAGAAGGGTAAGAAGAGAGATGGGAGAGAGAAGGAGGATTTCAGAAGTCCGCTGCCGCTATAAGTTGCCGTTCGTGTACAGTGAGGTCGGGGAAGATGAATAGTATTTTTCTTCGAATAATTATTACAAGAGTAATACGAGGATTAAAAAAATATTACAACAAGACTAATGGAAGGGATCTTTGTCTCACACGGTTATAGTAAATGAGGGTTTTTGTCGCAAAACAAAATACAGGAGGGTTTTACTTGAAAATAAGCATGTATTACCCAAAAAATCAAAGAGAGAAGGGCCAGAATTTGTAAGCTTAAAATACATTTGTACTTCTCGATAAATATAAACTAAAGTGGGAATCACATCATCTACCTTCCTTCCTCACTCTTAAACAAATACGAATTTGAATATTCTCCCAATAAATCACTACAGCCATACATTGGGAATATTGCCCTTGTCATTGCGGAGATGTTTCGGATATGCAGCTGACCAGCTATTGTATTCTATTGGAAGGTTTTTTGGAAGCGTTTGCTGTGAATAGATTCAAAACAAAACATTGGTTGTATTCTGAATCCAAAGTATACCTGAATTCCGAGCCATCTATTTGCATTCTTATTTATGTTCTCCCAAACAAATCAAATCAAATCAAATCTGAATCCAAAGTAAATCAGAATTCACAATAAACCTATTTGCACTCCCATGCGCTAATGCAAAATGAAATTTTGAAATTTTCACTGCAACCAAACTCAGCCTAACAGAAGCGACAGTGTTCTTTTACAAAGAATTAATTAAATGAAGGAAAATGAAGCTGATGACAGTCTTCTTTTACATTTTTCTTAAACTCGTCATAACTTTTCAAATTCAAAACCTCAAGTAAGTTTTATTATCCAAAACTCACTATAAAAACTCACCACTGGCTAAGATTTTCATTAGATTACTGTTGGGCCAGTCCTAGGCGGGGCTTGAAGTATTAGGTCCAGGCCCAACTCTAAAATTTGTCAGCTTAATGTGGGTCCCAGCTCAGATCAAACATAATTTTATCATAAAAATATTTAAAAGCTTATTGGCCATTCAAGGTGGTTTGATCATGGAAAATACTTAAATGATGACAAAGCGTTATTAATGGCCATTAACATTGATTTAAAGGAAATCTTAGGGGGAGATTAGTTTTTCGATCATAACACTCATCAACAGGTCTCCAAGGTTTTGAGAAGTGATGATAAGTTTAAGAGAAATGTGAAAAAGTCAGAATTTTAGATAAAATCCTGCTAAAAGAAGAGCTAGGATCTGATTGGTATGAATGAAACTCTTCAAGGTATATGGCCACACACCCAACAGTGATCCCGGTATACTTATGCACCCAACTGCTCATTAACGGTCTTCTCAACAACTTTTGCCTTCTTGGCCCATTTGTTTCTTCTAATTCATAGCTCTTTCTCTTTAATATCTATAAGACAAAATTATTTATGATTCATGGACAGTTTCTAAAGGGTTATAATTTATAAGTGGTTAGTTTCTGAACAGCTATGAGTGGACAGTTTCTGAAATGAGAATAAATGACATATATGCCATTTTTATGCCTGTTGTGTGTTTAAACAAGTAGGATAGAAAATGTCCAATAAAAATTCCAGAAAAAAGGGAAATTCACTCTTTATAAATAAGTTTTAACCACCCAAACAATCTTGATTATTTGGACAAACTCCTCGATTAATCCAACAATCCAACTCTTTTCACCTAACTCTATGATGAGAGCTCCTGATAACTACACCTTTACTTTCCTATTCCGCTCTTGTACACAGGTCTCGTCGCCTGACGCTGCCCTGGCCGTTCACGCTGCTATTATAAAGCACGGTTCCAATTCGAACCCCGCATGTTTAGAGCAGGCTGATCAACATTCATGTATGCTGAATTGGGTTTCTTGGGTTTAGCTCGGAAGCTATTTTCAGAAATTAGGGACCTGGGGTCTCAGACGACAATGGTGAGTCCCCGTACTAGGTGCGGCGAAGTCGATTTTGCACAGAAACTCTTCGATGAAATGCCCTACCGGGTGATCCCATTTCTTGGAATGTGATGATAGCGGGTGATGCTCGAATCTCAATGCGGACGGTCAAGCTTCAAATGACCGGGATGCTAGGGACTGCACTCATAGACATGTAGTCCCAAGTGTGGCAACATAAGTAAAGCGCTGGACGTATTTTGGGGAATGAGTGAGAGGAATGTCTACACATTTAGTAGCGATAATGTGATATGGGTGGGCTGGCCATGAATGGAGGTGGTGAGAAGTGTCTTCACTGTCTTGAGCTCTTTTCCCTCGTGAAACAAAGATTGCATTCAGCCAAATGAAGTAACTTTCGTTTTAGTCCAACGAGTTACGAGGTGTCAAAATCTATTAGTAGGAAGGAAACCAAAAAGATAAGAAAATATGTGAACAAAGATTCCTTTCCCAAGATTGATTTTGTTGAAAAGTAGTAGATACTTAAGACCATAACCTTTTAACCTTATAAGTGGTGTGAGTGAATTCAATGTACACCAACTGAAAAGGGCCGTTTAGTAACCATGGCCTCTCCTTGTTCCATTACCTTGCAATTCTAGTGGGGGTGCATGATTCCCTTTCCAAGTCTCTAAAGTTGCCACCTTAGCATGCCCCTTTCCCCTTCCCACCCCTAATGGAAACATATTGTCTCAAATTTGTTTACTTTTATTAATCCTCACTTCCCAATTACTTATAACTCTCTCTCTCTCTCTCTCTCTCTCTCTCTCCTCCACACCTCTAAAACTTATCCAACACATTATCCAAGTTTCATGCTACCCTTAGTGTACCTTCTTTATCTTTTTTATTCTTCTTTTTCCTCTCAACATATTCCTCTTACTCCCCTCTTCTCATCACAACATCCACATGTTAGATAACCCATTTTTAAAACAATGTTACATAAACATGACCCATTAAACATAATTATTGCCTTTAATCATGCACAATTACATATGTTACATGTAAAATTACATAATTGACCTGAACTATCCTAAAGTAACATTAACTTAAGTTACTTAAACTTCCCTAAATAGAGCTAATTTAATTAGCATAATCAAACTTAATTTTTTTAATTAAGTTTCATTAACCTAATAATTTATAATTCAATTTTAATCTTTTCTTGATACTATCTATTACGTGTAAAGTTACCTAAGTAAATAAAGAGACTATTTTTTTAATTAGGAACTTAACTAAAGTTAGCTAATTAATAAATAATTTATTTAATTATCTAATTAAAGTATTACCTAATTAAATTGTGTAACATAACTATCCTAATTAGTTCATTTGATTAAGTTAAATAAACTTAAATTAAGTAACAAATTAATCAACTTTAAATACATAACCTAATTAATGAAGTTAACCTTAACCCAATGTTTTAAAAGTCAAACTTAAAATGGAACCATTTTTGCCTATAGGTTTAAGCGGTTCAATCATCAGTTTGAAATGGATCTACTTATGATATTCAACAATGTTTTAAAAACTGACCTAGAACTAGAACCGCTCTGGCCATTGGTTTCTAGGTTAGTAGGTCGACTGTCCAGTTCGAATAGACGGTCCGTTCTAATTTAAAAATGAAATAATTAAAAAAAAAACAACCAAAATTGTTGTTTGGGTCAAACGGATTGACGGTTCAAGTGCCCAAACCAGCGAGTTACTAACCAAGTCAATGGTTTTTGGCCAAATTACAGGTTAAGGGTGACACAAAATTGGCTGCCTAGATGGTTTTTGGGTTGAATGGTTAGACCTTCTGAGTCAACGAGGTTCGAAAACCATGATACCCATCATAATTATAAGTAGGGGTGGATTTGAGCCGAGCCGAGCCGAATAGTACCAGGCTCGAGCTCGGCTTGAGACTATTCTACAAGGCTCGAGCCAGAACCTTGAGCTTGAGCTCAACTCAGCTAGGTTTGTTTTATATTTTATAAAAATATTTTATAAAAATAAAAGTTATATATATTTTTAATTTTATATTTAAAAAATTAAGAATTATAATAATTAATAATTATAATAATTTTATTTTATATATGTTATATATATATATATATATATATATATATATA